AAATCAGCGTTAGGACGAGTGCTGGCAAGTGAAGTTAACGCTGTCCAGATGCTCGACACCCCTGTCCCGTCGTTTCGGTTTACACACCCAGTATGGGCACTAATTGCAAAAGTCTCGGTGTTTGTTCGAAAACCTCGTTGGAGAATTTTCGTGTTTTCATAGTCGATACGGTGTCCCTCGGTAATAGCATGAAGTGCGATTGCCGAATCTCATTGGAGTTTGTTGAATTGCTTGGCAATAGTTGGTCTCGATTTTTCTTTTCTTTGATGTTCGGTGATTCTCACTCGAAGCTGTTTGCATGTTTGTCCAATATATTCTGTTGGGCAATCCGTGCAACTGATCTTGTAAATGCTGTTGCTTTGGTCCTGCATCTGAATTGGATCTTTGACCTTGGACAGCTTGTGTTGCAGTGTGTTGTCTATTCGGAAGAAAACCCGGATGTTTTAACTACCAAGGATATTTCTGATTGTCTCAGATGTCTCCAATATGTAGGGTATACCAGTGGATGTCAGCCAGTCTGTTGGACCCTTGCTTTCTGTGGTTGTTTTAGGTTTGGTAAGCTGGTGTCGTACAAACCGCTGTGGGAAATTGTTGTCCTGGAGTACCCGGTTTAAGCGTCGCATTTCATCTTTGCGTGTTGCTCCTTCGTTGCAGAGGTTTTCAACCCTGTTTGCTAGTGACCAGATGAGTGAACGTTTAATGCATTGTGGATGTGCAAAATCAAAATTGAAATACCTATCTGAGTGGGTTGGTTTCTTATGAATGCTTGTTTGAAATGCATGAGATTCACTGATTTTCACGCGACAATCTTGAAAGTTAACGACTCTCTCTGAATTCTCCATTTCCGTCGTGAATCTAATCGAGTTACACTGATTGTTCAGGCTATGAAGAAAATCTGTCTTTCGATCTGATTTGATGACTGCGAAAGTATCATCGACGTATCTGATGAATGGACGCGGGGGGTTCTTAAGTGCAATGAGGGCTTTTGATTCTATAGAGTGCATAAAAGGATTAGCAATAATTGGTGATACAGGAGAACCCATCGCAACACCATCAGTATGTTTGTACAATGTTTGTTTGAACGTAAAATATGTGAGCCATAGTTCTACACCATTAATGATTTCATGTGGGATTAATAAACAACATTCTGTTAAAGTTGCGTCAGAGATCAATATGGAATGTAAGACATATAAACTGTTTCTAATGCGAACACTCATGTACAAGGATACCACATCAAAACTAACAGCAACTTCATCGCTCTGTAGTTCAGTAGTTTGTAGATTGTGGGTAAAATGAAACGCATCATTGACTTGACTCACCACAATTTTTTGCTAAGGTTTTAAAAGACTGCTGAGATAATTGACTAATCTGTAGTTTGCATACGGAGTATAGTCCACAATTGAGCGAATGGGTATGTTTGGTTTGTGAACTTTTGGTAGGCCATAGAATCTTCCAGGTCTATTCCTCTTTGGTACCAAAGAGAACCGCAACGAATTGCCAGCTTTTCTTTTATGGTTGACAAATTTTTGCTTGTTTGAGCTTTGCTTTTGTTTAACGTAGCATTTGCTGTGTTTTCTTCCGTGGTAATATAGGGTCCATTGTTTAGATGTTCGAGAACCTTAGCTTCATAGTCTGAACTGTTCAAGATGACCGTGATGTTGTCTCTATCTGCCTTCGTGATGTGAATATAAGTATCACGCCTCAAGGTAGACAAAGCGTTTCTTTGTTCTGGTAATATGTTCGGAGAATAGGACTTCTGGTTCTTGAGAACATAACATGTTCTCAGGCGGGCTTCATTGGCATTTACCTTTGAAAGCTTGGTTAATGCTTGCTCTAGCGAAGGAAGCACTTCTTGTATTCCTAGGAGTTTCCTCTCCAAATTGCGTAAGATTTCTGATTTCGTAGATGTCAGTATCCTCTCAGAAAGATTTCTGGGGTTCAGATTTCAGGGTTTAACACCTGAAGTCTTTTTCCCTANATGTATTTGCGTAGCTGTCGATATTGACAATTTTTGATAAAGGTTCCCCACGGTAACCGAAACGGCTTATTTTCACCTGTGCCGACATTGCCGTGTTTTCAAAATTACAACTTATATAAAACATATCACATGACACATCAATTTTTTGATACACTTCGAACGTCTTTCGGATCTGACACCATGAAAAGTCACAGTTCATGATATTCAGTTATAGTGCAATATATACTCGACCTCAGATTAAGTTGATCAAAATATCCCTAACTGAAAACACGCGTGTTAACTACTTAACTCCTTGGTGATAGTTTTCGTATTTTTATGCTGGCTATAAGGTGACCACTATCGGGAACGATTGCACACTTAGAAATTTCATGTAGTAACATACGTGACACACCACCGCATTGTATGGCAATTTGTGCTGGCACTTCGGAAGAGCGATTTCTCTGCACCAACTCGTATCAGTAACCGAGCTACTGCATAATACACTGGATCCTTCACGGACAACGGATTGCCGCTGCGGCGTGTTGATTGTCTCAAACTGTCCAAAGCCAAATAGCCTTTCTGTCTGAGTGGCGATACTTCATTCAAAATGCTTCCGCCATGAGTACTTTATTTATCCAGGCTGCGAAATTCGTGTACTTTTTTGTTGCCTCNGCCTCTCCAGTTTTAATAAGATTGAAAATTGAACCTACCCAGTGCCTTAACAGCATTTTTCCAAACAAGCATGGTTACTCCAGTACTGGTGCCATCTAGAAAATCTTGCAAATTAACTGGATGTTTCACTCAGTTTTAGGATGTTTTCCATGCACTCCAGGTGGGACAATGTCATCTGGGCGAATATTCGTATTGTAATTCGCCATATCTTTTTCAAATCTGAAGCGAGTAGAAAGTTAGTTGTATGATCCGTCTGTGTTGAACGGGCTAAATATAGTGGTAAGGTCTGCCAGCTATTGGTTTGGTCAAAGTTCCTTTCCTAAACATTGATTGTGCTGTTGTCTATTCCTCCAAAAGGTAGCGAATATCGTGAAGGCATAAATATTTCGCTATTCTGAACTTGAAAAAAAAAATCTTGCGGTTTTCAGTGTTCATTGCTGTGCTGATCCTTTCACTACTAACACACCGTTATGCAATGCGTGTGGATCAGTGAAAATAATTGTAAATCTACCGATAATTATATGCACATTATTTCCGCCTGACCAGTCACGGTGGTGCTGCACCAGTCCCCACTCCACTCTCCGCTTTTCACGGTTATTACACGTACTACTCATGAGTAGTACGTGTAATAACCGTGAAAAGCGGAGAGTGGAGTGGGGACTGGTGCAGCACCACCGTGACTGGTCAGGCNCCAGTCACGGTGGTGCTGCACCAGTCCCCACTCCACTCTCCGCTTTTCACGGTTATTACACGTACTACTCATGAGTAGCCATAGAATTCCCTCCACTATTATCTGCAGTCTATTACTCTCCCATCCTATCGCTGGTCGTATCAATGAATTAATTTATCCTTGTTATCTCGCCCCATTGTTTCTGAGATTCAGTCGATCTCACGCTCGCGCGAAGCCCCCCTGTTGAAACCAATCCCTGTTTCATATCTCCAGATCAGTCGGGCCCTATCGAGGTACGCCAACTGTTTCCTTCACAATCCATGAATATACTTGCGTTTTTATCTTTTTCTATCTATCACACGTTTTCATTTACCATTACCGAATTTAGATACTTTACCTAAGTGCTTTACATTTTTAATTATATAGTGTGAATGACATATGTAATAGATCGGACACAAAGTAAATAAGATTTTCAGTTTCGGATTGACCAGTTTGAAGAAAAATAAAATTCTATCATGTAGCTAACTAATGAGTGATTAATGCCAACGCTCGCAGTAACACACAAAAAAATAGAGCTTATGGGCTACTTATTCTCGATAATTGATAGGACTACTTGTTCACTCTTAAATTTCGTGTGCACAAGTATGGGGATGGTCCATATCGTTGATGCACTCCGGCACGTAGACTAACTCTTTCCGCATATAGAAGTTTACATTCTTCGGGTAAAAATAATCCGGATAAACGAGATTGTGTCGGGAGCATTCAAAGGGCTCAAGCCTTTGTGAAATGGACTGGAGTCCAGTGGAGAGGAATGGTCATGAAAAATGAAATTCTTTGACTGCACATCACAAACACGGACCTGTAATTAAGTGGAATACGTTTTCTGCTAAATTGATTTGTACAGGATCCTGCAGATCAATGTACAGATTATTTTTGCTTTTGGATTTTTACTTAGCTTCTTTCTGTCCGTTCAACTGTATCCGAATCAATTAGCTTATTATTAATTTTTGGATTGTTTCCAGTCCGAGGAGAGCGGTTCGCATGCGTCAGGTTCACGATTGCCCATGCAACTCAGTGGTCCAAGTGCGCTCACCTATCCGGAAGCAGTAGTCACTCCCGGTCCATCACTCTTTATCACAGGTGATTCATTCAATCATAGTCTGATGCCACCACTAATGGAGAGATCAATTGAAGAGTCCTCCCTACCCGGACTGTCGCATCAGACCACACCAAGCCTCAGTTCAAGTGCTCTAAGCAGTCCTCTGAACGACACTGAATTGATCAGTTCACTTGATTCCGATCGACTTCTGCCGTCTGGCGTATCCTTGTCCGGTGGCGTACCAACAACAATGCCTTCCGGATGTATGGGACTCTTAGGTTCAACCCCGTTCCACGCAGCATTTTTTGGCTCGGCGGCTCCGTACAATTCACCGCTGGACTGGCTTCCAATCAACCCAAACTTAAGAGAGATGCCATCTCGACCGGAAACGGTAACTTACGACGATGTGGCGTCGTAGGATGATGCATTTTTTTGGTTCACAAAACCTTTGGTTGCCACAGTCGAACCCAGTCATGATGGGGTTCTTGCATTTATAGCGCTCTTATTTTCACTCTTCTTGCATTCTCCTTCCTCCCCCTCCGGTCCCTGTAAATTCTTTTCCATCCATGTTTCTTTTTTTTCGCCTAAATCAATTAATGTGTACTTATTTTCATTATTGATTTCCCACCCCGTCATGGTTATTTGCTATTTACGTATGTTTTACTGCGTTCATTTTTGCATATTCTCCATTCGGACCGGTTTTTGCGACGATCTTGATCAGTCCCGGTAATTTCTCACATTCCGTCTCCAATCATACTCATGATCCAGATGTTTTCATCATTCGCCGAACAAAATACTCTGTATCTCATGCTTGGGATCAGACTGCATAACTAGCATTATGTGTTGTCTGCGATAACTTCAATATTTTTCTTTCTGTCTATAACAGAAATGTATTCTTCAATAATTTGGGCTATGATTACAGGGTGTTGGATTGGGCAACCACACGGTGCTAAAAACGGTCATTTCAGAGCTGCTACTACTGTTGACAGCAGAGGGTATTCCCGGGTGAATGTAAACGTGCAAATTCCCATGCCTATATAAAGAGTTGAAGATCTGGGACAAATATTTGTAGAGATCCGTTTCACAGTACCAGCACCAAGTTCGGCTCCGATTGTAGCGACAACAAAATGGTGTGCCATCTGAAAGTTTATTTAGTTATGGTTCCCAAAATGCTGAATTCAATATGTGAATCATGAAAAATGCATTGGTTTTATGAAATGCTAAGATGCCGGCCACCATTGGCCGAGTAGTGGTTACCAGGTAAGCAATATCTGTCGTTTTCGACGTTGCCGGAGTCAAAGTCAGGGCAAATATCTAAGGCATTGTAAACAGAGCTCACCGTTGCGACGGGCATCTCATTTTCATCACTTTGATTATAGCCCTAGATTTATTGCTTACAAATACATGGAGACGGGCGGGAGACGTATCACATCCAAATTAAACCGTTTTAAAACGGCAGTTAACTTCCTTTGAAACCCCACCGAATGCGACTTAGAAGATTTGAGATATATCAGAGGAAAGTTGTTTGAAGTGACGAAAAGAAGACAGATAGACTGTATTTAACCAAAGAACGATGCACATCCGTTTTAAAGATGAAAAGTTGTTATCCGTTACTCAGGATCGTAAGTGACTCGGAAAAAATGTGTGCCGGGAAAAAAGGAATGGGACAGTAGTTTTTAGCCATAACGAGTAGACCGGAATGACACTAGGAGGGAATAACCGGTTTTCCATACCTGTGGAATTGTAATAGTAAAGGGCGCAATTTTTACTTGCAAAAGATCTCATTTGTCAGTCTTGGGCACTCACGCAGAGCAAAAATCATAGCAGTTGTCTGAATGAATACTCTGTAAGGTGTGACAGTAACAGTTCTCCAACTGGATGATGTGTCGACTGACTCGTTTCAACTTGCACAATCAGGATTGCTGTCCCGTTGCACTCGAGCGTTCGACTGATCGGCTCAGTCTTGAGAGAGTGTAAAGTATTTTGATAAGTCAGAGCGAGTACTTCTCCATTATGGTCGAGCAGATATCGGTAATTCTCAGAAGATCGGTCAAGTCGGAAGTGAATGTATGTGACGGTTTGCTGAAAATGACAAAAGCTTATGTACCAAAACACGACAGCTGTTCAGTACCTTGTAGATTTTTATTTGCTTTGTACACGATGATCGGATCAATCCAAATCCTCCCCTTCTCTCACGTAGCGCTGCATGTGTTGACAAGCTCACCGTTCTCCGTCATATTCGTTCTTCTTACGGTAGAGTGACTCACAATCGCGAAACAGGATAAACACTGTCAAAAGGCTGTCGATTCGCTTTGTGTCGAAATAAGTGACGTTTCGACGGACTTTAATAGCCGCTAAAAGTTTTGGGATTCTGCTTATGTATCCGCTGATAAAAACGGACAAGATGACATGGTACGTATCATGTGAGGAAAAATTCACAGCCCATCGATTCCCGGTGGTTGGTTCGGTTAAATAACGAAATTCGAGGCAAGGGATAGATTACTCATTGTGCACAGGCATTTCTTAATTGTTGCACGACTCCGGTATTATTCCTCATCCGTATAAGTGCTGGTGTAATACACTTGGGCTTGAATTCGCAACAGGATGTCTCACGTGATCGAATGTGGGTCGAGTCTCGACGTGGGCTGTACCCGTTGACGTAAAGAAGGTTCTCCGTGGGACAGGTCAACTGCTAATGTGAAAAGCAGGAACAATACGAACACACTGAAACCACGGCTCCAGTGGCACATGAACACGATTCAGGCTGAGTGGCAATAATCTGGTTAGAACTCATGTGACCCATCGCTGCAGTGTTGGGATGTATTAAATAAGACTATAAATTACCGGCTATCTCTCGGATATGGTATAAAAAAGCTTCCAATTTTACTTAGTCTATTGATTGATGTGAACGATATTTTTCAACTAGATACGATTCCACACGTCGATGGGTGTATCAAAATGGGTTAAAACATGTTGACTGGAGGTCCTCTGGTAGCAAAGCCACACGAATCATGAGTCTTGTTTCGCAGAACCGCGCACATTGCTTTTTACTTGTGTGTGCTTAGGGCGATCCACAATGGGTGTGTGTGTGTGTGCAGTTGTGTACCGAGGTTCAGTTTCAGTTTGTACAACCATTAACCATGTACTTTCACGTGCCGTTTTCGTTGCTGTCTTTTGGCCGAACAGTAGGAGAAAGACTAGAAAGTTGAAAGTGGAGTCTAAGAAAAAATGGAGAATTTCAGTGGGCTAAGGTTGCAAACAAATTGAGAAGATGCACGAACGCCATTGTTTACATCACACAGGCGTATCAATCGGTGTCTCTAACCACCAAATAGGATATTCCAAGGTTCCCATCCAGGAGGCAGAACGGGACCTATGTGACCGAGCCTCCTGGTAAAGGTTTTCATACTCTCATGCCAGGTCTTAGTTTGGCCGTCCTTGGCTTTAATTCGCCCATTACCTGCCTCGGGGAACAACGCGCGCCATGGTGACATGCGTAACATATACCCCAACCAACGTAATCCATGGAGGTCAACCACTTGCTCCATTGGGCGACCGCGGTTACCTAAAACTCTGCGCCTAACCTCATCATTGATAGTTCAATTGCCCCAACAGATTCGTGCAATGCTGTGTAGACAGCAGTGTTCAAACACCGACAGTCTATCTTTATCCTGTTTTCCTAATGATCAAGTTTTACTTCGCAAAACCTAGCTGCCGTAGCATATACTCAAACCTTCACAGACAGCCGGATGTCGCGGCGTAGCCACAGATGTCTCAGATTGGCAAATACCAATCGAGCCGACACTTCAGCCGTGACGCGTCCACCGCTTGAGATACAGTTGCCCAAATGACAAAACTTGTCTACTTTCTCTGTTATTTCCCTAGTTAGAGTGAGACTGGTTACTGGACCAACCCAGTCTTTTAACGGGGTTATCTTTGTAATTTTGTTACAGAATTGATTATCTTTTGATGCTGCAAACTGCATGTATAAAGTAGGCTCAGTGATCGTCCGCATGGATATGTAGCACAGGTTTTCAGTGCGAGAGGCTGATCGATGCAAACACCGCAAAAGGCCCGGTATATATATGCTATCAATGAGGTCAAATGAGAATCAACATGAAGTGTGCTACTGGTTGGATGAACTGAGGATGAATAATCGAAAGGTATACTAGAAATCAGTACTGTTTTAGCCCAATTAAGATCCAAACATTAGTTTTCGGTGTTATATGCTAATATGATCACAGGACGATGTTTGGCCGTGTATGGTAGAACCTTGTTACTCGTAGGCTTACTTTGTTGACACGGAAATCTACGGTTAAGCCCGGCACTATGCAACTCAGAGTAAGCGTAGGTGATGGTGGCCCGGTTGTAGCCTCGCCAAATTATCACCCCGGGGAACGTGTGTTCAAATCCCACCACCACTGCCTGAATTTCCTCATTGTGTGTTGCAATGGCAGTCCTTTGATTGACCGCTTCCTCCTTCCTGAATACTGTATCGTCGTATATTCAATAAAAAGGTATAAGAATGCAAATGAAGTTCAAATGTTCAACTCAGTATCCACATTGTACCTCATTGTATACACAGAGAATTGATTTTTTGATTTCAGTTATTCTACGTATGGGCAAATCCATATTTGTCCTTGCGACACTTTATACGATGCACGAGTGCATGGGAACGAGATTCACCTAGAGCTTTGAACGGTCTGATGTGGAAGTGCACTGCTTTTGTCTGACACGTGAAATTTCTCACAAAGGCTACAAAAGTTTCGTGTTCTATCGTCAGTCGGTCGTTACCGTGGATATGTATGAACTAAATGTCTGCTGCATAGGGGCGAATCTTTTGCACCTTAGGGCGGGCTATAGGTGAACCAATTAGGTGCTGCAACTCGGTCTCATCGAGTGAGAGCGTATAAAACACGACGAATGCTTACATTCGATTGGTTAAACGCGGGAAAACAGTTGACCGAAATGGGTGGTACCGAGTCTGAGCCGTGGTCGGATGAACACATTTAAGACGAGGGTTTTTGGCAAAGTGGAACGAAAGCTTAGCGGATCGCTGCATTTCGTCTCTGTTCGCCCGGTTTTTGAAGTTTGGCCACTTCTATTCCTTGTGCGAGTAATGAGCACCTCCAGCTTGGATGGTTCTAATTTGGCGAGGGAGGATACGATTGAGGAGGATGACGAAGAATTGATGGTGAGTTTCACGGTCTAGAGGAGGGGAGAGTGTTTTGTTACGGAATTGCTAAAATCATTGAAATCGGGACATCTCACGTCCCTACTTGAGTCACTGTCGGATCTGAAAAATTACTGATAGGAAAACTAGGGAAAGTATACAGATAGACACCTTCGTATTATATCGCATCATGTATGTCATGCTGTAGAGAAAAAATGTCTTACATCAGCTGTCACGTTATGTAGAACGAATTAGTTGTGGAAATCAAAGAAAACAACTTATATTCGTAATTCAGAAACAAAATTCAACACTTATCCTAATTCTGTTGATGATTATCCACTCAGGATTGGGGTTGAGGCAATTGGAACACATTTTTTCATGGTATCCCGTCTTAAAGACCGTTTAATTGATTGTAAATAATTAAAACATACCTGATGTTTTGTGTGGGATCAAATCCTTGTAATGTCTTTCTGTTTTGATTGGGTCAGAGTGTGCGTTTGAACTTTCCGCGATCAACGTTTCCCTGCTTATTTAAACCTGGATTTCTGACTCTGGCGCTTAGCCCACTTTTTCCAGTTACTTTTATGGGAGTTTTATGGCTCTTTATTGAACTTCTCGTACTGAACTGTGACGGTGGTGGATTTTCGCGTTATTGAATTGCAAGAAGTCTTTGTAGGTGTTTCCAAAGATGTGCTACGGAACGCTGTTGGGATTAAAGGTTTTCAAACTATCCCTGGAGATTAGTTTTTGAGATAAAAATAGTTGTCAATTTCAAGTCTAAGTAACACAGTGTATCATATTAGGAATCACACTGTACTTTATTGAATGGTCAGAAATCAAGCGACAGTACGCACTGGAGCAACCAGTAACCTGAAAATCAGAAGAAGTCGAGCACTTTTATAATGCACACATTACCAAGTTTTCGCATACAGTCCCCCTCGTCTGATTGATCTCCTCCAACTGACCTTTCCAATTGTTAAAAAACTTAATTGGCAATCGAGTCCTCTAATAGACCAATAAAGAAGAGTCCTTCACGGCTTCAAAATTTGCGGAAGTCCAAGTGACATTCCGTTATTAGTTGGGATCTTACTGTCATCAGTTTTTGGTTGTATTACCTACACTGTTTCTTCAGACAATCCAAGGCAGTTAGCTCTTGTAGGCATTTAAAATCTAAGCATCGTGAGGACAAAACATCTGTATAATAAATGAACTCATGTGCGGATCGTTACAACATCACAAATCCGTGTCTCGCCATGTCAAGGAGGCTCTAGGGTACCATTAAAGCTATTTTCGGCGAACACACAAACGACCATTTTTAAGATTGCACACTGTGGCAAGGATGAAGAATCTATTCAACTGGACGACTTGAATAATATTCTTGTGGGTAATCACAAGCACTTGGGCACCAGTTCCAGCTGTTATTAACAGTTGTATCACCGGTTGATAAAAAATGTTCAGTTGCTTTGATTTCGTATTTCACTGGCTCAGAATGACCAATCATGCTAGACCAATAACATTTTACCATAAGCGGACCACTTCCAAATGTTATACTAGTCCAATCGGACATTAGATACCTAGAACGCACCTTTTCGAACCATTGACCCACCTTGTGGTGTTTTGTTCATGAATTAGGTGAACGTTTGAGCAAGCTGAATTCACTTGTGCTTACATTGATAACAACAGAATGGAGTGCACCGGACTATTCACAATGATCTCTATTCACGTTGTTGCCAATTATAGGTGTGTAGACTGCGAATACACCTGGTTAAGCCGTTGTCACGGTTCAAGGTCATCTGTTCAAAGGAATTAGGGGGTGGGCCATCTAGCTGGGGATCGCGGAAAGGAAAGGGGTTTGGGTGTTGATTCCAAGAACACCATATTGCTGTTTCGTTCATCGTACGTGGTTGAACTTTATTTGATTCGCACTAAGCTAATGACCTACTTTTCGTTGGGACAAATGAACATTATCACAAACAATACCTCAGACAGATGTACTGTTTTGTTCAATACATGACATATCACAGCAAAATTCAGGAATATTGGAGAACAACTGCTTGCTTTATACCACTGGGTATTAATTACGGTGAATGTTTCAATTATTCACCGGTCATATTGATCGGTTCTTCCTTAAAACCTTAGCAGGAATGATAGATAGTTTAAGTAGTTTTCTAATAATGAGAACTATGACCATCATGCGGATCACAGAGTTGAAAAATGACTGAAAAGGTTTGCCCTTTGGTTAAANTTGGTTAAACGCATTTTGTCCAAACACCTACAGTCCAGTGATCCACTCAAATACATCAATGCAGGTCTCGAGCACCGTCAGAAACAGTTATTTCTTGCCCAAATATATACAGAGTCCAAAAGGTAGACTGCAATAAAGTTATCGATTGAAGCGTTCTTCCCTAATCTTGAATAAGTGGTGTGAACAGATTAGGGAACAATTTTCTTATTTCTATCACTCTCACCTCACATTTGTCATTTCAGAAAACACACCATCTAACGAAACAGCGAGTTAGCGGTAAGTTTTGACATTTGGATGAATGACTTTTATCATATAGCTCTCGCTCTGTTGATAAAAACATTTTTCTGGTTTCGTTGCCTCTGTACATGTCTTATAAAAGCTTGACAAATGGCTTTTACATTTATCATCTCGACCTGGACCGTATTTTCTAGTTAACTGAACATTTCCATCAGCGTTTAACAACATGAATCAAGTTTATTGACTGACTTACAGAGCACTCTTGATTTTGTGTTTTTATCCATGTTTTCTCCTTAAAATTTTCTACTCCTAAAGATATCATTGTGAATTGACAGGAGTTGAACAACATACTATTGTCGAAACCTTATACCACACTATTATCCTAGCCAATACCCTAACTAATATCACAATTCAACAAACGGCTCTTTGGACAAAACGTAAATGTAACTCATCCAACCGGTAAATAGTCGATCATGTAAAGCGGGTTTGTATGGATCAGTGTTTTGTATTCCGCGCCACACACCCGCGGTTTACGACCCCCCGGAACAGCCAGTCATCCGGTTCAGTGCATGTGCGCGATTGGCTAGCGTTGATTCGGAGGAGATTTCCTTTGACCTTTTCGAAGTGTGGCAAAAGATTCGTCACCTACTGTTTCCATTCTGTTTTCTAGTAGCCCAGATAAAAATGCGGATGATTGAAGTAGAATCATAAAGTCCGATAGATCAACGGAATGGTGATTAGGCTGCCTAGTGTAACGGTGCAAAACACAAACACGGTGTCCTTAACCAAAACCTTGAACATTTTTGGGGCGTCACTGTACGCATTGTTCCAATTAAACGTATAGGACTAATTGAAGGTGCTATAACGACCGGATGAATCCTTGATCATTTTCAAATTAAATGTGAGAACACCAAGTGGCAAACAAGCTCGTTTACAGTACTTTTTAATGAGGACAGTACAAGTCAGTATATGTGACCAATTACACCTAGGGGTACATGAGGCAAAAGAACATTAAGTTGAAGGCTAAAAAAGTTGAATCACAGCTGTTGCCCAATTCAGATATTGTTTTCTCTTAGGGTTAAAATGTCGCATGTTCGGATGTTGCAAGACGGTTCACTTGTTGGCAGTCTAGTCATAGGAGCTTCAATGGTTCCCCGATTGCTTTTGGGTACACACAGTGGTGTTACTTTTACGATAAGAAAGACAGCACGCGCCTAAAAGGGTTCTGTTGTGACTCTGTTTTGGTATCGGAAGGGTTTGGTCACGTTTACGGTAAAAGTAGCGTCAACAAGATGGAAAAAGACTGCAGTGGACTTAATTACTCGACTGCTCAATCACGCTCAGTCACCACACGAATTATCAAACAATCAGAGGTATAACTGATTTAACTATTGGATTCAGTAGTATATGTGAGCTGTGAACCGGTTTTCCTAAGTTGGATTCATACGTCAAGGCCGTTGTCCCGATGAATAAATCAATAGAATATTTTCGTGCATCTTTTCAAAGCTCGTTCTGAAGCTTAGACAATTGTAGCAACAGAGCTAATCAAACGCTTGCATAAATTAAAAACAAATTTGTGCAATTAAATATCAACAAAGTCCATAAGCGTTATTGAATTTGACGATGATGGATAAATAATCCTACGTAATTGGCTCGTAGTTTCCATCCATTGCAAACCCTAAACTAGCCGGAATAGTGATATTCCGGTTACTAAGGTGTTACCTTGCACTTCTAATTGCTGTTCGTTTCTAAAATCGATTTGATTGAACGTTGGAAGATCCCTCATCTCGTTATTTTTGTGCAGAATGATTATCTTGATTGCTCAGGCAGCATTTCTATAAGGTGGATTGCATGAATTTTCCATTTTGATAGTTGACTCCACGGGTAACTCTTTAATGTAACTTAGAAATATCGTGTTTGTGAAACTAAATTGTTAAATTTAATCTTCAACCCTGCCGTGCAAATTCTGACATAATTTTCAGTTTCGCAGCCGTGATAAAATAACTGTCACTGAATTTTTCCTTTGAAAATCTGAGTTGATCTTGATATTTTCCGAATCCGTTCCAGGGATATCTTTCACTGACCTCTCATTCCGTTTTCGCGCTCGCGCGCACACTCACACCCTTGCAGAGCTGCGTGAGATTTTCCGCTTCCTCGATCGGGACAGTGGAGGTACAGTGAGCGGACAAGAACTGAGCTCCCTTATTCGACTGGTCAGTTCGAATTACACGGAACATCAGATCAAACTGTTAATGAACAAAGCGGATATGAATGGTAAGCAACGAGCGTTTGGGATGTGCATTGGCAAAAGGTGTGCTGGGCAATTCATTGTACTTACCTTACCTCTTGGAATGGTTTGCTTGACTTAACTCATGTTCGGCAACATGACAAGTATGACTTATAGTGAAAGGAGAAACCCAATATCGTAACCAGTAATGTTGAAAGAAGATGAACATGTAACTAAACCCTAACTTTTATATTTAACTTGAAGAGAGAATTTTCGATTGAGAGAAAACTAGAGTCAAAAATAGTGTTGGAAATGCTCGTGACTGTTTCAAACTAGTGAATAAATGCTGGTATTCAGAAACTAGCTGTTAGCATTACTTGTTCAGTCTAACCGAGGGCTTGGGACCGTGACTGGCACGCGAGGAACGACAGTCAGAATTATCGAAGAATAAAAGAACCCTGTCGTGATAACGACAAGAAAGCGACCAGCCAACGATGGAGGTCAGAGAGGGGCGAATGAACTTACGCAAACGCGATATAAAGTGCTCGATGAAAAGGAGCTGATCGTAACCCAGACATATGTGACATGTGCGGGAGTGCGACGGATTTGGACCCTGTAATGAGTGAAACGTTAGAAAGAGGTAAAGAATGCTTAACGCAGGACAGTTAAAACATAATTTTAGATTCAAGTTATGTAAGCTCCGAGATAGAAGGACACCAAGATAACGGAAATACCATTACAGACTAAGTAAAACTGAACATGTGGGACGAAGTTACTGAAAGACAAAACAGATTGAGAGCAAAAGAATCACATTTGCGGGATATACCAAAATGCAAGAGGTCTATGATGAATTGAAAACAACTGGAATTTTTAAGTTGCGGTCAAGAAGGGCACTGAAGTCTGAATCAAAGTAATCACATAACGATTGATTAGGGGTGATAAACGCGCTGATGTGATTACGTAAGCAGCACTGTGCAGAAAAGAACACTGTCGACTGACAGCATAGGTAAACACATGAGCGGGATTTGAACTGGAGATTGAATATTCTTAACAAAAATGAACGTAAAGATTTGAGAGACAAAGTATTGAACGTTCTGTGACGTGTCAGTTCATGATGACTGGCCTCAGAACCAACTCCATAAGCGCGAACTGTGACTGGGTAGTAAAATAAAAAAGACTTGCACCTACTTGACGCAACTTAAGGAGACTCTGAAATTGGGAAGCTTCCCCAAAACTCTCCAATCCCAACCCAGTCGAACGCCAAAGAGGCATTGAACAAGAGACCAGATGCAGTTCGTCACAGCGGTCAATAATGGAAAACTAAATTTAATTTGTAACTGGTACTTAGTATTTGCTGCTAAAATAATAAAATAATAAATCGAAAAGATGGTTCCCGGCAGAGAAGAGTTATTTATTACGAATAACGAAAAGGGTATCAGCAAATGGGCAAAAGACAACAATGTTTCATTTGGAACGAGTCTTCAGAACTCCAACAAGCACACAGGATAATTACTGGAACGGTTCGACGGTAGGTGCGCATTTCCGGTAGTTACAAAATGAAATAGTTACTAATAGTTACCGATAGTTACTAAATCGTTACAATGCTAAATCATTCAATCCAGTCGCGAATTCCGTGCGAATCCAATAACCGCTTCTTGGGGCATACCAACTACTCGTACGTGTGAGTATTACCTCACAACGGTGGTAGTACTGGCGTCAGTGTCGGAGTTCATCATAAAAGAACTTTAATGATAGCCTTACCCAGTTGACCGAAACCGCTACTGGTGAGAGTCGTTCAGCGTTCAAAGTGACACCAAACTCAGTTTTGCAATCCTTAGCTACGTAAAGTAGTTCAAGGATGAAGCGAGGAGAATGGAGGGAGAATTGCTTGGATCAAGGGAATGGGGTGAGAGAACTTCACTCGAGGAGAAGAGTGAGAGAGAGATAAATGATATTTCCACTTCAGAGAAAGGAGACTGAGAAAAAGTATAACAAAGAAATTTATCAATCTGGGACTCACACGGGAGTGTTATCTGGACCCGGCTGCTTAAATTAGCGGAGAACAGCTCAGGATGAATATTTCTATTTGAAATCCTAAGACTAATTTGTGACCCACGTTGAGAATAAGCATTCTGTTGTGTTTCACCAACTATCACCAAACCTGGTCCCACGCTGCGTATCCCAACCTTCCCACATGCAAATGGTGCAAGCCTTTATTGGTAGTGCTAACCAAAACGTGGTTTGAGAAACGGAGAAACCAGAGGTATACATACGGGGTTGATCACAATCTAGTCATTTGTCCGGAACGGGGATACGAGGCTATCATTAGAGTGATTGCACAAACCATTTTGCCGTTCTATGTTGGTGACCCTGATGACTATGT